TTTATTATATATTCTTTATTATATAATGTATTTAAAACATTTTTAAATTAAATGAATATTCTTAGATCACGAGTTATGTAATAAATTTGAATTTGCCTCTATAAGTGATACTCAGATTGAATCAGGTTCAGAAAACAATAACTACTTTAAAAGATACTTAATTCAAGTATTATTAGTTATATTTTGATATTAATTATTATAGGAGCCACTACCATGCTTATGCAAGAGAAAACATAATAACCAACAGAATAGTAAGCAAATACCTACTCCTGTAACGCAAAAAAAGAAACAGAAAACATTTTTTATGCATACTCCACATACTGTAGCTTAAGGTATTAATTGTCTGTCTGCAAGTTGATTTAGGAAGAAAAGATTCTGAACATTTTTTTCTATGCTTCAGTGATTTACACATTTCTTTGGTTGCTAAATTATTACATTTTATTTAATTTATGAATAATGTTTTATTTTATAGTTTTTTTGTTCTTGTGTTTCAACACTTTTAGAAATTAATTAATGTTTGGTTCTTTTGTCTTTCTGATATATCTTTATTGTTAGAAAGATATTATGGATAACAGTTTAAATGATTCTTGGGTGAGGTCAGAACTGATAGGTTGTTTCAAACCATGACTTTTTGCAGTTTTTTTTATTGTTTTTTGATTAAGTATTTATTAATAACTTAGCGTAAGTTAACCTACTAGTAACTTTTTATAAATGTACTATAAAAATAATGTGGTGTAATTATTTTCTTAAACCTTTAGGTTAACAAACTTTTTAAAGTTGGAGGTAAAACCATTAAGAGAAATACAAATACATGTGATGCAAAGGTTTGTTAAAAGTAGTTTTAAATAAAAAATCTTTTAAATCTTTTTTATAGTTTGTTTTAAACTTGTGTTAAAAATCTGTGTAGTATATATTTTTAAAAGTTTGACGAATTCTAATCAGACATAAAATGAATCTTTTTTTTTTTATGTCTGAATATATTTTTTTTTGTAACTGTTTTCTCTCACTTTTGTATTTCCTTGAGCTAAAGAACAACCTTAAAGTTCAAAGGTTGATTTGTAACGCATACTTAACCTTTTTTTTTACTCTATATATACATACATATATATGTACATAAATAAACATACATATATATGTATGTATATATACATACATGTGCTTATATGAATATATTACATATATATATATATGTATATATATGTATATATATATATATATATATATATATATATATATATATATTTATATATATATATATATATATATATATATATATATATATATATATATATATATATATATATATATATATATATATATATATATATATATATATATATATATATATATATATATATATATATTTGCCTCTATAATTGCAGGAACCCTTTTTGGCATACTTTTAATGCATTTTTGAGCCATTTTCTTCAATTCTTTGTTATAGTTCCAATGTTGAATAATTCTTTCTATTAAATACACTTTATTTGTAATAATTTTTTCAGATAATTGCTTCTTTAGGAGCGCCCAAACATTTTCTATAGGATTTAGGTCAGAAGAGTTTCCTGGCCAATCAAGTAATGGAATATTTTGTTCTGATAGATATTTTTTAACTGATTTAGCTGTGCGACATGGTCATGCCCTGTCCTGCATGAAGGCTTTTTTTTCACCTGGACTAAACTATTCTGCCAATTGTGACAACAAACTTTTTTCCAGCATTTTTATATTGTAACTGTAACATTTTTCATTCTGCAATATAGAACCTTCCTATTTCTTTTACACATTTCATTGATCAGATCATCACAGAGGTGGGGTGTTTAACAGTTTGCATGATGCAGTCTAATAAGTATTTTTTCCCTTTTTTTCTTTTTAAAACTTAAAAGTACTCTCGCCGCTAAAGCATACCTTCAAATATTATACAAGGATTGTTAAGTGAATATTGAATGAATATTTAAAGTTTGGTGTAAGAAAGTGGATATTTTAAATTCATCTAAATTAATTTTATTAATTACCAATCATATGTTAAATTCCTATACTTTTTTGTTCACTCAAGCATTTTTTGTACAATTTTTGGTGTCAGTTTAGGCTTCTTAGCTGGACGTCGTGAAATGTAACCAAGATTGTGTAGGCAATGTTGGACCGTTCTCTTCAACATTTTGACTCCAGATTGACCCAGCTTATTAGTTATTTTGTTGTTGGTGGCCCGTCTATTTTCTAGAACAATCTTGGTAAGTATTCATTTCCTGCATGGTGTTAGGATTCTCTTCTTCAAGTGTACAGCAAAAAGATTATAATTAAGATGACATCATACAAAATGGCTGTCAAAAGTGACAGTGTTGCCAGTAGCAAAAAAAAGTTATTGATTTTATAAGTTAAAACTTTATTTTAAACAGAAGATTAACTTTCAATAATGAATTTTTACTCTTCATATGAAAAAAATGAGATTAAATTTCAAAATGATCAAAACTCATAGGTGGCCATAATAAATTATCACACAACTGTATATATAAAGTATAAATATTTTGCAAAAACACTTTTATTTGCAATAACTGCTTCATTGCATCGTGGCATGCTTGCAATTTATTTTTTATAGTTTCTGTCAACTCTGGGTTATTATGCTAGATCTTGATAATCTCTTCCATAAGATCTTGCTTATTAGTAAGCTTTTTTTTTTTCCAACCTCTTGCTTTACTATTTCCCAAATATTTTCTATGGGGTTAAGATCATGCGAGTTGTCTGGCTATAGCAATACATCAACTAAGCCATAACAGTTTTTATTGTGTGGCATGTTGCACCATCTTGCATAAATATAAGATTTTTGACATTATTTTTAAATTTTTTTGTCAATTTTTGACATTTTCGGCTGGACATCAATCCCTCTTCTTTTAGCCTTCTACAAATGGTCTGGTCTGACACAACAATTACAGCTTCATGGATAAGCTTAGTGGCTTTTTTTCTTTTTTCCTGGCAGATATTTCTGATTATACTGTCCGCTCTTGGTGTTTTCTTGCGTTTAGAAGGTGGTCTCCTTGGACCAAACTCTTCCCCTGTATGAATTCTTTTTCTTACTTGCATTACGGTTTGTAAGAAACCTTTTGCGTTGGGTGAGAAACCTTTGGTAAGAAACCTTTGTGCTATTTTTCATTAAGAATAATTTGTATTTTGTAAAAGACATGTATATCAATTTTTGTTACTATGATATTAATAACAATGTATAATGTAGGTTGTTGACCAATGGTTTATAATCAAAATTTAATATGGCTGACGGTAAAGGTAAAGAGAAATTTAAAGGAACAAACATTAGGTATTTACTTGTAAGTTAAGTGTAAAATTATATATTTTTAAAAATCACAGTTCGTTTTTTTAATGCTATTTTATTTTTAACTTTTTGATGTATTTGATGCAAATTACTCAGGCAATACCTTTTTTATAGAGAGAGTTTTGTCAATTAAAGTGACTGCTACAGTTGCCGAAATAAGAAAAGGAATAATGACTTTATTAAAATACGCACTCGACAGATCAAATGGTGGTGGTGGGTGCGTAAAAGACGATTCACCCGATGTATAACATTCATACTTTTTCCTAGTTGTTCTGGAACTATTGATAATAGTTATAATTGATAAATTGATAAATATAATACTGATAAATAAAACTTTTTTTTTTTAAACATTTTATTTTATTTGCATTGTATATAAAGACCGTTGAAGCAATTTAGTTGTATCTGATTAATTTACGTGAAATATAATATCCTCTGCGCAAATTATTGCTTTTTTATTGTGTTAATTTATTGCAATTAAAGTTGAGAAAATTTTTCAGTTAATTGGATTTAACCAAAATAAAAAACAAAAATCAACGTTGAATTTACGTTGTTTCAACGTTGTTCTAACGTCTTATCAACTACGTATCAATCGAATATATCACCTATTCAAAGTTGAAATATGGTTGATATGTAGTCGATAAGACGTTAGATCAACGTTGAAACGACGTAATCATCGACGTTGTTTCAACGTCGTAGTTTTCGACGTCGGATTTTATTTCCAATTCATCCAAATTTCAACGTTGTTTCAACGTGGTATATGGTCGGTTTGCGACGTTGTTTCAACGTTATTTCAACGTCATTGTGCCGGCTGGGTTTACTAATGTTTATAAGTTTTTAGCATTTTTTTTGTGATAAAGTAAAAGTAATAATTACTATTGAACCTTTGATAAAGTTTTGATGCTTTGGTTTTTTTTATTTAAAATTTACATTACAGCTATAATTTTTTTTACATTATAGTTTTTTTATGTGGTACATTTTACATGATAAGAATTCGCTAATGCTAAATGCATCTTATTTTAAAAATTTGGCAACTGAATTTTAATATTCATGTGGCTCATATGAAGTGAACGAGTAATTTGTCAAAAGATTGTTTGCAAATTATTGTTCTTCTTTTAGATATTTTAGATAAATGAAAATAAAAATGCATAAAGACGGCCTGTTGAACGTTGTTTCAAAAAATAAACCTGGTGAGGAAAACCCTATAATTACAATTAAAAAAGCTTTATAGTGTTTTGTTTTATCACGGCAATATCATGTTGCTGCAACTTACATGATAATTTCAGGATATTACATACATTTTAAATCTTATGGTATTAAACACAATAAGCCGAAAAAACTCGCTGCATAGTTTAGCCGGTGCATTTAAAATAGTGTGAACATAAAATTAAATCAACTATAATAAATGATGGAAAAAAGTCTTACATGAATGGTGCGCGTGCAATAGCAAAATCTTTCAAAACGTAAAAGACGCTTTACTAGAAAAATGCAAAATATAGCCAGGAAAGATTTTATTTCTGAAAAAATATATTCCGAATATATGTATATATATATATATATATATATATATATATATATATATATATATATATGTATATATATATATATATATATATATATATATATATATATATATATATATATATATATATGTATATATATATATATATATATATATATATTTATTTATATAAAAAATCGGTTTTTACAATACGTTGCAAGGTTAACATTGCCTCAATCTATGCTTATCATTTTGAGTTTTACGAATTAAAAAACAAGATATATAAAATATGTAGATGAAACAAAACTAACCTTCCAAACGGCAAATTGGTTCAAGTGAATTAAAATTAAAATGAAAGTTCTCCGTTAAAAGTTAATGATTTTTATAGAATCAAAAGTTATTATAAAAAATATTTTTAAAATGACAATTATTAGGCGGAAATATTATGAAAGTTTTAAATAAAGTTGTATATCAAGCACCCAATTAAAAGAAATGAAGCAAATTTGAGTCTTTTGCCAGAATTAGAGTGAAGGTTACAAAAACCAATTGGGGGGTATGAACCAGATTCGCATTTTGAATACTTATTTCCAGTAACTTTAAATCCGTTATTACATATAAGAAAGTATTGCACTGAATTTCCGTTTACTTTTACTTCAACTTTGCCATTTAGTACGTTAAAACTAGGAGGGCACGTTTGAGCTATGTTTTGATAGGTTTGTTTTAAATCAACCGTTTTATTTAATATAACTAAATTACTTATTCCAAAGTTTACATTACCGGTGACTTGTATATCATAACTACAAGCTTTGCTTCCGTTACACTGCGGGTAATCAAAAGGAGTTGAAAAGTCAGGGACAAAACTTTGATCTTGATAATCAAACCATGAGAGACCGTTAGGATAAGTGAATAAAGATGTTTCATTAGAAGTTGACCAAAACATTCCAAAATTAAAGTGAATATCGTAGTTAGTTGAGTCGCTTGAAATAAATGTTCCGTTCGGTAACTTTAGATCATTGCTTGAATTGTCGTCCCAGTCTCCTATTAAACCTCTAATTCGGTTTTTGAATGTTTCCGATAAAATTAAAATAGTGTGAAGTGCTTTATTAAGGGCTATTATCTCAAATCGAATACCCGAATTAGTTTGAACTACTACGGTCGCATTGTTTTCGTAATCTAAACTTATTCCATTAAATTCCCAAAATCCAAAATCCAAATTCATTAATTGTCCGTTAATAATAAACACAAAAGCTTGCTTGGTACTTAATTCTATTTGAATGGTGTCAGAATTATGTCCTTTAACTACAAATCCAGAAAAAAAGCTAGCACCTTTTTTAATGCCGTTTTGATTGATAAATTGAGACATTCGTGACTGAATTATATCAGACTTAGTTAGTGTTGTCAAATAAACAAATTCACCAACAGGGTTAAAACTGTAAGAAGTTCCATCCAACGTAGTAAAATGAGGATCTCCATTTGCGTTTACGGCTATTCTTGGTCTCACGATTCTAGGATTTATACTAGGTCGTTTTTGATAATATTTTTCCTTTTGATTGATTCCTATTTTGCAACACGTTAAATAGGGCAGTAGATCATTTTTAAAATGACCCAATGTAGTTATTTCTAAATCACCAAAGCTAAGTGTTCCACTAGAAGGTTTACTTAACAAAAGTTTGTAATCATCACTGTAGCAGCATTGGACAACTGGATCGCCTTCATTTTGTGTGCTTCTATAGCAGGCCTTTGCACCAGGATGAAACGTTTCACACATTACTTTATTTTTTACATCTTTTGGATTGCATCTTTCGTCTATAACGTAATTTTCTATTTTATGAGGAAAATTTGGAGGGATTGCTGGTAAACAGGCTTTTCTTTGATTTAAATCCTCAACTATACTTCGTATTTCTGAAGATGACGATTGATTATAATACCAATTAGTGCAATGCATTGTAGCTGCTGAATTCTCTGTTTTAACAATCATGGCTGTAATAGCAGATGTAGAAGTAAAGTAGCCTGATAAAAAAATACTTCTTATTAACTTAAGTTCAACATACTTGTGATATTTTGAGGTTACAAAGGGACGCAAAGAAACTTTTCCATTGTTTGAAATATGGCCATATCGTAGAGCATTTATTTCTTCAAAAACAATAGATCCTTGATTGTTTATATAATAATCAATCTGATATCCTGAAAACTCAATGCTTTGCTGATCATCATTTGTAGGATCCCACTCTATAGAAAAATTTTCGTCTAAGTGTGGTTCAGATAGAATATTGTTTATGTTTTCCACTACCATGCCGTCATCTCTTCCTACGGATATGATAAAGCTCTTGTATATAGTAGAGTTGTATTCTAAAACTATATCAATTTTTCCTAGTTTTTTGAGAAACGGAACTCTACAGTGCAAGTTTTGCCATTGTCCAAGGAAGCAAGAAACAGTATTGTTATCAATCATAACCGAAATATTTGAATTGTTTTGCTGGTAACAAAAACCCGATATTATAAGCTCGCAAGCCCCAAAATAAAGTGCCTTTCTTGGATATATTTCTAGCTGACCTTTTGTGTTACATTGTTCAATAATATCGTTAGCATCAGTTGAAAATATCCATTTTCCAGGGTTTCCTACGTTGCTGTGAAAAAGCGCAATTTCTGGTATCCCAGCAGTTTTGGATTTTGGCATAAGAAAAAATCTTTTTCCATCTCCTGCATTAAAACCTACTTGAGCAAAACCTGTGCAGCCGTTTGATCCCGTAGAATAGCCAAGCTGGTTAAAATTAAAAATTGCAAACGAGTTAACTCCATCACTGGTTAGAACTGTTTGGTATGTAACTTTACTGGAACATGAGGTATTGCATCCACACCCGTATGGCAGCACTTTATCAAAAGTAACAATTAGTGCCCATTCAGCATTAAATCTATAGTAACTGATAAGATGATGCTTTATTTCCTCAGAAATTTTTCTGAGAAGAGTTCTATTTTTTGTTTCTTTATAGAAAATGTTTCCTCCGTTTGCGGGATTGCTGTCTGTCCAATAAGTTGCCACAGATTGCATGTTTTGCAGTGGAAATGGCGTCGGGGTGTAATCTCTATTTCCGGCTCCAAATGTTATTATTCCGTTTGTACTTAAAAACACTTCTTGGTAAATGGAACCAAAGAATGGAAAGTTGAACGATATCGTTATTCTTGTTGATTCATCGTCTCTCTTTGGTAACATTTGATCGTTTGTTACTGTCCCGTACGGATAGAAATCAGTTAACTCTATTACACCACCAACAGTGTTTACCAGCAATATAAATAGCCATACCGTAAACATTGCCTAAAAATAGGAAAGCCTTATAAATTACAGTAGCTTTAAAAAACATAAGGTCATTTAATACTTTTTTTGACGACTTTATTATAATTTTAAAATTTTTTAAATGATAAAATGTTTAAATACTTTTATTTTCAAAGTTCAATTAGCTATCTAATGAAATTTAACACTTGTCGGTACTATTTATCTTTTTCTAAAAGTTTAATGAAAAATTGCAGCATCCTTAAATTTATTAAAAAATGTTTCAAAATTTTAATTTTTATTTACTAAATTAATTTTATATTTAAAACTAATTTAGTAAATTACAAACTCCCAAATTTGTTATAGCAAAATGATGAAAATTTGTAAATGCTTTGACAAATGTACATTGCAAACAAAATAAAAAATAAAAAAATCGATTTCCTACCAGTATTTAAGGAAATTTAGAAATTATAAGACAATTTTTTTTGCTAGAAAAAAATCAGCGGGAAGCAGCAAGATTATGTGATGTTTTGCTATGTCCGGAAAACGCTGAAAAACTAAAAACTTTCAAATGAAATAGAAGAGACATAAAATTAACTATTTAGAGTTGGCAGGCTGTCAAAACTAAATTTTAGGGATCAAAGCCTATTGTATTGAATGTTAAGGGAAAAACTAAAATTAGCTACCAAGAACTGTTTACCATCAACTTTAATGTTAGTTATATCTATAATTAGTTATAAAACTATCTCAATAAAAAAAGGTATCGATTGTTATGTTGCTGACAGAAAACCATTTCTAAGTGCAACCCCAGTGGGCACACGACCTTATTTTGACTTTGATTTACAGTTGATTTTTAGTCGCGACGTCGTATAACCAAAAATCAACGTTAAAAAATTTGTTTAAAAGTATCAAATAAAATCGACGTTGATTCCACGTTAATTCAACGTCTATATTACGAGTTTGACCGTTTGTAATTGCAATATGAGAATATATATATATATATATAATATATATATATATATATATATATATATATATATATATATATATATATATATATATATATATATATATATATATATATATATATATATATATATATATATATATATATATATATATATATATATATATATATATATATATATATAAACAGTTAAGGAATAGTTATTTATTAACCTAAAATGGCTTTTTACTAACTAATGGAAAGTTTTATTGTGTTGAATTTGTGTATGAAAATGGATGATGTTTTACAAAATAATGATTTATCAAGCTTTTTTAGCCATGTGATTTAAAGAGTTTAAATATTTTTCATATTAAAAAATTGTCATTAAATTTTCAAAGATTTTTCTTGTAAAGTTGTATAAAAAAGAATTTGGGCTTGCTCCTTTAGTCCATAATATTGGTTGGTAGAAGGATCAGCATAAAAATTTAGCAAATTTTAGCAACTGTGTAATGTATCATAACGTACAGTTTAAAGTTGTGTTTTTCTGTTTGCTATTTTACATGAACAAATTTTTAATATATGAGTATTTTTTCTATTACATTTTTTACTATACTTTTCCAGTTAAAAAAGTATAGTAGGGCAAGCAAAATGTTCATTCGAGCTATTTTGATAGAAAATACAGAGAAATAAAGTAAGATAATTTGATTGATAATTTTTTGTGCTGGTCATCATCATTAAATGTAATAAATTGTTTCAATGAAATGCATAAACCACAGTCTAACTAATACAGATTTAAGCTGCTCAAAATTTAAATGTCATGGAGATGATGTAATTTTTTTTTATATAAACATTAAGTCATTACTTTTTTCCCTGTTTTTTTAAAACGCTTTCATTCTTTATATGTTGTTTTCAGTGTATATATATATTCTTTATTATATATTCTTTATAGTATAATGTATTTAAAACATTTTTAAATTGAATGAATATTTTTAGATCATGAGTAATGCGATAAATTTGAATTTGCCACTACTAGTGATACTCAGATAGAATCAAATTTAGAAATCGGTAACTATTTTAAAAGATACTTAATTCAAGTGTCGTTAGTTTTATTTTGATAATTATTTTTATAGGAGCCACTACCATGCTTATGCAAGAGAAAACATAATAACCAACAGAATAGTAAGCAAATATATACTCCTGTAACGCAAAAAAAAAGAAACAGAAATCAATTTTTATGCATACTCCACATACTGTAGCTCAAGGTAATTATTGTCTGTCTGCAAGTTGATTTAGGAAGAAAAGATTCTGAACATTTTTTTCTATGCTTCATTGATTTAGAAATTTTATTGGTTGTTAAATTAATAGATTTTATTTAATTTAAGAATAATGTTTTATTTTATAAATGTTTTGTTCTTATGTTTCAACTCTTTTAGAAATTAATTAATGTTTGGTTTTTTTGTCTTTCTGATATATCTTTATTGTTAGAAAAAAATGTTAGTAAAAACTCTTTCTAGTAATTAAAGTAATATCATGACAAATAGTTCTGAAATTCTATGGATGAACTTGCAGCAGTAATTTAATGATTTTAATAACAGTTTAAATGATTCTTGGGTGAGGTCAGAAGTGATGGGTTGTTTCAAACCATGACTTTTAGCAGTTTTTTTTATTGTTTTTTGATTAAGTATTTATTAATAACTTAGCCTAAGTTAATCTACATGTAACTTTTTATAAATGTACTATAAAAATAATGTGGTGTAACTATTTTCTTAAACCTTTAGGTTAACAAACTTTCTAAAATTGGAGGTAAACTTGTGTTAAAAATATGTGTAGTATATATTTTTAAAAGTTTGACGAATTCTAATCAGACATAAAATAAATCTTTTTTTTTTTGTCTGATTATATTTTTTTTTAACTGTTTTCTCTTATTTTTGTTTTTTTCTTGAGCTAAAGAACAACCTTAAAGTACAAAAGTTGATTTGTAACGCATACTCAACCTTTTTTTTACTCTATATATACATACATATATATGTACATAAATAAACATACATATATATGTATTTATATATACATACATATGCTTATATGAATATACTAAATATATATATATATATATATATATATATATATATATATATATATATATATATATATATATATATATATACATATATATATATATATATATATATATATATATATATATATGTATATATATATATATATATATACATATATTTATATATATATATATATATATATATATATATATATATATATATATATATATATATATATATAAATACATATATATATATATATATATATATATATATATATATATATATATATATATATATATATATATATATATATATATATATATATATATATATATATATATATATATATATATATATATATATATATATATATATATATATATATATATATATATATATATATATATATATATATATATATATATATCAGTGGTGTACACTGGATTTTTAGATGTTTGAGTTTTGACACTTACACACATTTTGCAAATTCCAAACTTTTGTATGTTCATACTTATATTAAATGAGAATGTTTTGCAAAAAGTTGTCGCGATTTGAGCTTTGGGACAAAAACCCCCAATTTTCGGGCCCACCCAGCCCTTAACGTGGGAGCAACAAGTTGATAAAATAATTTCTTTAGTATTTTTATTTAAGTTTATATTCATCAACGAACTCCAAATTTCATGCAATAACCTCTTAGTTTTTAGTTTTTGTGACCCTACAAAGTTTACAGCCCCTACAAATTGAGAAGGTTAAAACTTTATATGGTCATAATTTTCAAAAACTAAGAAATTATTGGATGAAATTTGATATTTGTTGAGGAATATAAACTCAGACAAAAATACTAAAAAAATTATTTTATCAACTTGTTGCTCCCACGTTAAGGGCTGGGTGGGCTCAAAAATTAGGGTGTTTTTGTTCCCAAGCTGTTATCACCGCAACTTAATGCAAAACATTCTTATTTGACATAAGCATTAACATACAAAAGTTTGGAGTTTGCACAATACCTGTAAGTGAAAAAACTCAAACATCTAAAAGCCCAGTGTTCATCACTCTATATATATATATATATATATATATATATATATATATATATATATATATATATATATATATATATATATATATATATTATATATATATATATATATATATATATATATATATATATATATATATATATATATATATATATATATATATATACATATATATATATATATATATATATATTTATATATATATATATATATGTATATATATATATATATATATATATATATATATATATATATATATATATATATATATATATATATATATAATAATGGTGTAATTTAAAGTTTTTTTTTTTATATATAAAGTTGTACTTGATAAAAATAAATAAATAAAGTTGAACATTTTAAATAAATATTGATAATTATGATAAATTATATAAAATATATATAAAGTAAAAATATATTGCAAAAACACTTTTATCTGCAATAATTGTTTCATTGTGGCATGCTTGCAATTTATTTTTTATAGTTTCTGTCAACTCTGGGTTATTATGCCAGATCTTGATAACCTCTTCCATAAGATCTTGCTTAATAGTAAGATTTTTTTTTTCCAATCTCTTGCTTTACTATTTCCTAAATGTTTTCTATGGGGTTAAGATCATGCGAGTTGTCTGGCCATAGCAATACATAGCAATACTAAGCCATAACAGTTTTTATTGTGTGGCAAGTTGCACTATCTTGCATAAATATAAGAATTTTGACATTATTTTTAATATTTTAAATTTTTTTTGTCAATTTCTGACTTTTTTGGCTGGACATCAATCCCTCTTATTTTAGCCTTCTACAAATCGTGCGGTCTGACACAACAATTACAGCTTCATGGATAAGCTTAGTGGCTTTTTTTCTGTTTTTCAGGCAGTTATTTCTGATTGTACTGTCCGCTCTTGGTGTTTTCTTGCGTTTAGAAGGTGGTCTCCTTGGACCAAACTTTTCCCCTGTATCAATTCTTTTTCTTACTTGCATTAGGTTTGTTAGGAAACTTTT